CTAGCTGCCCCTCAGGACTCCCTTGCTTGAGATGCCACAGTCCCAGCCCATTCTCACCCAGAGTGCCCAGTTGCTATAGCCTTGGTTCTGTGGGGTCGCTCATCGTCATTGCTCTCGCCTCGTGTCTGGAACTGCCAGAGACCACAGCTTTCACTTGCTGCCCGCTGATGCCTGCTTCCTGGACACGCTGATGGGAAGAGAAAAAGGAACTGAGCTTGAGTGTGGAAAACTAGAGGGAGGGGCTGCCCTCCTGACACAGCACCGCCAGTGCATGACAACCCAGGGATTTTTAGGGAGAGGTCTGGGAAGTTTGGGGTGCGTAGCAGAAAGATCTGGTCTATTCAATTGTTGTGACAAATTATGGGGTGCTCCTATCAAAGCCAGTAGCCCGCAGAGAGCACCTACTTTGCTATTCCCTTCCCACTTGTGCTGAGAGCCTTCACCCACATTGGCGGTCGCTCTACCTGATAACTTGCACTTTCTTTGATGCTTTGCTGGCGTCCTGACTCACTGTGGTCTCTGCTGACTTTGATGCCCTGGTGGAATCAACCTTCTCCTATTAGTGTAACGCCTGCTGCAGATGTACCCATTTCACCCCATTATGTTGTAGCACATGATCTGCTTTCCATTTCTGCACAGTCAGGTTATGTAACAGGCCCATTGCTACACGGCTATTTAATGGCGGTCTGGCATTGGAACATAGGTGATCTGACTCTACAGTCCTCACTGTAAACCCAGGGGAATAAAATAGTCCGGGGGGGTGTTTCCCAGTGGTCAACACATACTGAGTGGAAAAGGCTTCATAATTTTGTGGTTCTCACAAACTGGAATAGTCTTCATGGGTAGCAAAGAAACCCATGGAGACTGGGAGATGGTTCTCTCCTCTCGTCATGTGGGATGAAGGGAGGGGCCAAATTCAGGCCAGTAGGATTAGAGGCAAGTGCCTTTATCCACTGAGCCATTGTGCTAACCCATTTCACAGGCTGTCACAGAACCTTGAACTCACTGACTCACTTAGACTGCCTAAGAGAATTCTGCCTCCCCAGTATTGGGATTACAGATGTAATCCTGTCATGCCTGGAATTTTACACTGGGGTCCAAACTCAGTTTATCATGCTGTGTGGTAAGCACTGCTGACTAAGCAATCTTCCCAGCCTCTGATCTTCACTACTAATCTGAAATGAAGATGACTTTAATGGGTAAGGACAGAGATTGGCCAGATGTCTGAGGTATAAAAAGCCTATAATATTATGGGAACATTTGACATTTTTATTGGAGTGATGTATGTAGACCATGCATGCATGAAAGCCTCCCCCCCACTGTACTACCCATGTGATGTAATCTCAGCCCCAGATAGCATGCACATGAATGAGTATATTTCCTGGCCTTGCATTTGTTTTATGAACTCAAAACAAAATTTTATGTTCACTTTTGTTGCACCTGGAAGGGAATGGGAAATAGAATAAACTATTTATCTGGAGCCAAATATGAATGACCAGGTCGCAAGAGCACACACTCAAAGTTGCTCTACATACCATGTTCTACTGTAGCAGTGGTCATGCGAGATGCTACTAGTTATAGAACAAAGACAAGGTAGGGACCACAGGTAGGTGGGTTCCAGCGGAAACAGGGAAACCTCTGCTGCAAATATAAGAAGCTATCTGGTGATGCTCTTAGCTCTTGGACTGAGGGAAGCTTTTGTAGTCATAGCTATGGTAGGGCAGATACAGAGTGGGCAACAATGGTCTCAGAGGAACTAAACACGGCTCAGGTTTTTGTGGCTCTGGTCTATAACATTTTTGCTCTCCACAATCTCAGAGCTCAGTTATTTATCATTTGCTGTAGTCTTAATTGTATTGTTCTGATAAAAAAAGACCTGGACAAAAAGCAGTATGGGGAGGAAAGGGCTAATTTCACCTTACACTTCCAGGTTACAACTCATTGTCTCAAAAAACTCACTGGGCAGGGGCTGGAGACAGCTGACACATCACATTCATGGTCAAGAGGGGAGGTGAACTAGCCATGCTGGATTGCTTGTCTGTACACAGCTCAGTTCTCACAGACTAGGGAATGCGCCAGCCACAGTGAGCTGGGTTTTTCCATATCAATTTCTTAAGATAATTGCCCACAGATAAGTGCACGGCAGACAACCCCCTTGCTGAGATTTTCTTCCTAGGCGCTCCTAGGTCTGTCAAGGTAACAGTTAAATCCAAATGTCGTAGCCTTGTATGATCTTTAAGAAAAGCACAGCTGTTTCCTTTCTGAGAGTTTCAGTTGCCATTTTGTACTAGTTATAGATTTATAGCATCATGTCAAGGTAAAATACAGATTTCTTATTTGCCCTTGACTCAGGGTCCTCTAATGCTGATCTCCTACATAGTAAACTGTGGTAACAGTGTCAAATGTGTCAGTGTCGACTTCTTAAAAGGTAGCTGTGTCTTGGGGCTAGAGAGATGGCCAGTGGTGAAGAATGCGGGCTGTTCTTTTGGAGGATCTGAATTCAGCTCCCATGCCAGACAGCTCCCAATTGCCTGTGACCCCAGCTCCTGGGGATCTGATACTTCTGGCCACCACAGCACCTGAACTCACCTGCACACAACCCCAAAATTAAAAATGAAATAAATGCTCTCTTTTTAAAAGATGTGCCCACTGGTATAATAGCTACATGACTTTTATGAGAGTAACCAACTCTTTCCTACTGAACTGAGACCTCTTCAGGAAGGAATTCATGACTGGTACTGTAAACCTTGCTCAAAATCCATAGCTGGGGAGGTCACAGACACCGGGGAAAACCTACTATTGCTGTTTTTCTAAATGGCCATATTGTCAAACTAACTTCTAAATATAGTTTTCAACAGTTTTAAGGGACTGGTTACAGACACTGCAACCAATGCTGCCACGGCCACATCCGCAGCCACAGTCGCCACAGCCACAGCTGTAGGCCTGTACAGATTGTGTGAGACGCTGGCAGACCAGCTTTAAGGACATCTGGGAAAATTACAGAGCTTGTCAATAGTGATCTTACAGAAGGGGCCTCAGTTTTGGTGGCAAGTGATGTTATCCAGTGAGTCATCTCACTAGCCCCGGATACTTGACTACAACCACAAAGCTGAAATACACGAAAGGGGCTTTGGAGAAGTGGGCTCAGGGCCTCAACAGACGAAGGATGGCAGAGACGCTCAGACCTAATCTGGAACCAAAGACTGGGCGTTGGGGACATAGCGGGGGTGTTGGGGGATGTGCTGGCTACATTGGTGATATACTGGGAATACACTGGGGATAGGACGACTGTGATTACACTATGATAAACAGATTGCTTTCTGTGGAATGTCATGTTAATACAGATGACGAATAGCGTGGACACAACACAAAGCTTCCTGTCATAATTGCAGGAGAGAAAGGAACAGCCCATTAAAAAAACAGGCGAAGGAAGTGTCTGACTGCTCAGCTGTTAAACAGAAAAAGCTGTCATGATGCCTCCGGAGGCAGGGGACATGGAGGAGAAGACACGGGCACTGAGGCTGATTTGTGGTGCAATCAGATTGTTGTATTCACATGTGTGTATAGGAAGGGACCTATGTGACTCAAACGAGCTGGTGGGAAGGTTTGCAGGAGAGTCCCTCGGGTTCAAACCAGATGGGGGTCCCAGGATTAAGGGGGGATAGTGCACACAGGGTCCTGCCCCTAACTGAGAAGGTGTTTGCAACTGTCACCCACTGGCAACGGGGAAAATCAGTTTTCTCCAATAGAGTGTTACTAGGTCTCTCAGCTGCACTTCCGGGCAGGCTCCTTGCCCAGAAATGGATGATCAACACAAAACAGTTTCATTTTATAATTATTTTGTCCTATTGGTCTTTTGCTCATGTGTTCTGATTTTCATTTTTGTGTTTGGAGGGAGGGAGGAAGAGAGAGTGGGAGAATATAAAGTTGGGTGGGGAGAGAGGTGTGGAGATTCTGGGACGAGCTTCAGGGGTGGCTGATCCATGGCTTGCTGGCACTGGAAGTTTCATCTTTACTCAAGGTCAGGGATGTAGAGGTAGGGAGGGACTTTGTTTATAGGCTCTGACAGTCCCAGAGTCCTTAGGGACAGACAGACACCCCTAAGGAGACTGGGTCTCCTCTGTTTTGGGATTGCTTTTTCCCTCTGAGAGTTTCACTCTTCCCAGCAGAGCTGGTCAGCTAAGAGGGGGAGGGGCCTGGTTTCCTCAGGCTGTTAGACCTTGAGACATCTTAAAAGCAGATTCATCATCTAACACAGCCAACCCCATGGGTGATACCAGACTAGTTGGGAATGACGAGAAAGAGAAGTACATCCAAGATAGCACATGGAAAAAGTAACACGAACACATTTGTTATGAAAAAGAGGAGCAGAAAAGACTACAGCGTTCTTGCGCACCCCTGCACTGTCCCAGGCGGGAATCTCAAATTGAAGAAGGCAGCTCCTCACATCAAAGTGTAAGCATTGCCTGGCTGACAGGCAACAGCTGCCTCCAACAGACTGTCTAGCGGCAAGGGAAACATGTTCTCTGAGGAGAAATGTGGGAGATCTTCCCATGATCCACTATGACATCTCTAAGAGAGGAGAGAGCTGATGTGTTTATTACTTTAAAAAAAAATTTTAGTGTGTGTGTGTAGGTGCACCCCTATGTAACTGCAATGCCCACAGAGGCTATTTGAGGGTGACAGATTCCCCAGGAGCTGGAGAGAGTGCTCTTAGCTGCTGAGCCATTTCTCCAGCTCCTGAGCTGATATATTTGTATGCCAATGCCTGGAAGTCAGGGGTGGGTAGGAAGAATTATCTACTTTATGCTTCAGTTTGCATGATGAGCAACAGAGACAGGGAAGGCTCCCAGCCAAAGGGTTTCAAAAGGCAAGTTGATGGATATTGAGCAGATGCAATGAAAGTATACAGGGACAGGATCAAGTCTCAGGGGACAAGGCAGAGGTGATATGATGCAATGGTTAGCGTTAGCTGTCGATTTGACACAAGATAGAAGAGCTTTATCAAGGGATTATTTATTTTGGGTGGGCTTGCAGGGATATCTGAGGGTCATTGTCTTAAGTCAACTGAGGAGAGGCCCGTCCTAACGTGGGCAGCACTGATCTCTAGGGTTGGGAATAAATACATGCATTTATTTATTCTCTCTGCTTTAGGATGCTTTGTTATTAGTTGCCTCAAGTTCCTGCCTTGTTTTCCCTTCAGTGATGAGCTATAACCCAGAATTGTAAGCCAAATAACCCCTTTTCCCCAACTTGCATTTTTGTCAGGATGTTTTATTACAACAACAGGAAGCAGGAAAAAACACCTGACAAGGAACCAAGGGCTGGAGAGAAGCTCGGTGGATAGGAGTACAGCTGTGCAAGCAAAAGGCAGGGTATGGCCACCTGTGCCTGGAGCCCCACTTTAGGAAGTAATTGGAGACAGGAGGATGCCTGATCTTTCAGGTTGCCTGCCTTGCTGAAAAACAATGACCTCCAAGTCCCATCTCAAGGGAATAAAATGAAAGGCTATGAAGGAGAGTACCAACGTCTTCCTCTGGTCTCCAAATGTATGTATCAACACATGTACACACACACACAAACACACACACACACACACACACACACACACCCCTCCCTCTGATCTCAGCAAGGAAGACAAAACAATTAATGGAAAACACACAGGTTCTGAATGCATCCCACATTTGGTAATTACGCTGAAGCATTCAGGTGGGGGACAACCAGGAGCCGTAAGCCCAGTGACACCTGAAAGCCGGAGATACAGTCCCATTGTGGCAGTTAGCTTTACCTGTCAACCTGACAGAACCTAGAGTCACTTGGAGAGTCTCAATGAGGGGTTTCTTACATCGGGTTGGCCTGTGAGTGTGTGTGTGTGTGTGTGTGTGTGTGTGTGTGTGTGTGTGTTAATTAGACAACATCCAGCCCACTGTGGATGGCACCATTCCCTAGGCAGGGGTCCTAAACTGTATGAATGGGGAAACTGAGTTGAGCTCAAGCAAGTGAGTGAACATACGTGCATGTATTTCTGTATGTTCCTGATTGTTGGTGTGATGTGACCAGTTGTCTCAAGCTGCCACCATCCTGACCGCCCTTTGGTGATGGAGTGTCATCTGAAATGTAAGTGCTTTTTGTCAGAGCATCTTTATCACAACAACAGAAATGAAAGCAGGATTCACACAGAGGATGAAGACTCTTATGAAAATAAAAAAGAATCTCAGTGCTTTTGTCAACATACAGGCAGGGGGAGGAGCCGGCGCGAACGTGGCAGAACGGTTTGGGAGCAGCAGCCGAGACGAGCTGGCTCTCAGCTGGCAGTGCACGGCGTTGCAGGCTTCTTGCAGATCCAGAACTTCTGGAGCTCACATTTGGAGTCGTTCCAGCCATCCCCAGCGAATTCCACACAGTCTTCTTCCCCAACGTTGTTGGGCTCCCCTTTATTCCAATACTTCTGGAATCTGGATAGTCAACAAAACATTAGTCTGCTCCAGTAATCTGCTGGGAACCACGTTCTTAGCTTCCTGGAACTCACCTCCTCCCAGCATGCATATGGTGGGCAGGCCTTGCTATGAATTCAGAGACATGCCTGAGTCAGGTAGCTTTGGATTCAGACTCTAGTTATGTTTTATATTGAGAGAGTGGTTTTCAGATGTAAACCCACCAATATGGACTCCACCTTCCTTTCTGGGTCCTTGTACTCTGGACCACAATGCACCTGTCCCATGCCAAGTACCAGTCAGCTAGGGATCAGAACCCTGAGGGCAAGAAAATAGGTGCTAAGCCTGTCCCTCCTGTTCCTATGTGTGGGTACCAAAATAATGTTCTTTCTACTGTGTGTCCTTCCCGTATATACGGAATTACTGTGGCTCCTCCCCATGCTCCCTGTTTTGTGCTGTGGGATCTGGGAGCATCTTTATAAACTCCCTTTAAGTGATCTTTGTCCTTCTCCCATGTCATTCCCCCATCCTCTTTTCTCTACTGTCCTCCCTTCCTCCTTCCCTCCCTCCCCCCCTCCCTCCCTTCCTCCATCTCTCCTCCCTCCCTCCTTCCTCCCTCCTTCCTTCCTTCCTTCCTTCCTTCCTTCTTTCCTTCCCTCCTTCTTCCCTTTTTCCTTTTTGAGACAGCATCTCATGCATCCCAGGCTGGGCTGGCTCAGAACTCAGTGTGTAGCCCAAGGTAGCACTGAGCTTATGATCTTTCTCCTGATACCTCCCAAGTGCTGGGGTTACAGGCATGGAGCACCATCCCAGATGATGCAGGGCTGGGGATCAAACCCGTGACTCCATCATGCTACTGTATAAACACACTTATATACCCAAACCAACATGCCATATTCCCATGATAATAGTCCTTACACCCTGGCCTTACTTTATTTGATATTTTCTATTTATATCCTACATTAAAATCCACACCCCTCAGGGGGAAGCTTCTCGCTGCTTTGATGGTGGGATTTGCTGCTATTCTGTCTATGCATGGGTAGGAAGACCTCCTTCCATCAGCAAATGTGGCAGCTCTTGTTCCTAAGGGGCCAGGGAGGGGGTGGTGAGTCCCAAAGATGGTTCAAGTCAGAGCATCAAAGACCTGTCTACACTCCACTCTACAGGTTCTGCCCCTTTTCCTGGATCTACCTGGATGACAGAGGTGAGCCATCTACCCAGAGCCATGTGGCTTCCTTGTTCAGGTCTGACAGCCCCATCCAGGTTGGTCCTTTAGCCTTAGAAGTCTGCCGCAGGAAGGTCTGGAGGGGAAGAGGAAAGTCAGGGGAGATCTCTTCCTCCCCCCCCCCCCCCGTACTCTCAGCTCGTGAATGCCCACACTCTTGAAGGAAGTCCTATTTGCTGTCTGATCTTTCCCCTTCCTCTCGTAGGCCGTGAGCATTCACGTGTGCTTAGATGATGTCAGCTCTTTTTACATCTGGGAACTGTGGGCACATGCACTGTGGCACAGGGTGGTACCCTGCTGGTTGGACACAGAGGCACACGCCTTTAGTCTCAGAACGCCACAGGGTGGCTGTGAGTCCCAGGCCAGCCAGGGCTACAGAGTAAGACACTGTCTAAAAAATAACAACACCATCTTTTCAAAAAAGGAAACACACAGCTGGCCTTGCCACACACGCCTGCTAACGTTGCATGATCTCTCTCATAAACTCTGAGTAAGTCTATAGAATTTCCTGGTGATTGCCTTTAATGTGCTGGAAGCAGATCAAACTAATTCAGGGTTGCTTAAGATGTATGCTGCTTCTTTTCTGCTCTTCAGTGACATCCCATTATAAATTTGATATTACCCACAGTGAGAATATTTACACCCAGGCAATTGGCAAGCACATTGTGTGTGTGTGTGTGTGTGTGTGTATGCATGTGTGTGTATACCTATATGTATGAATATGTGTGTCTGTGTGCATATGGATATGTGGGTATGCATGCCACTGCATGTATTTAGAGGTCAGGGGGCAACTTGTGGGGTTTAATTCCCTCTTTCCACCATAGGGGATCGAACTCAGGTTGCCAAACTTGGCAGCAAGCACCTGCTGAACCATCTCATCTCATTCCTCCTTCTTCCTTGGATTTGAACTCAGGTCCTCAAGCTTGTGATGCAGCCCCACACAAGGCCTTCTTTGAATTGCATCTACTTAGATGTCTGTTTGGATGGGCCATGCATATGCCACAGTGCAGCTATGTCTGCCAGAGGACAACTTAAAAGAGGCACTGGTCTCCTTTTACTATGTGGATCCTAGGGATTGAACTCAGGCTGTGAGGCTTAGTGGCAAGCACCCCTGTCTCCTGAGCTATCTAATTAGGCTGCACACCAAGACTTTGTCTCTCAGAGAGCAGGTGGCTAGACACTGACCAGCAGAGGCTGGCGTCTACGGCACTCCAGGTGCCCCCAAGCACTCGCAAATCTTCAGTACACGATTCTATGCTAAGAGCTTGGGATCCATCCCCCCATTCCTACTCTTGTTTCCCCCACATAACTCTGGCAAATTTTCTTAATCCCTGCGATCAGGAGCCGGCTGCACAGACCAGACCAGGAAGGCCGTCCCACCAGACATACCTGCTCCTCATCGCTTTGGATGATGACCAGTTGAGCCTCCACTTCCTGGCAAGCCTTGACAGCATTGCTCCAGTTCCGCTGGGACTTGGAGATGAAGTAACAGTTTCCTAGGAGGTACGTCCAGTCCCAGGGGCAGGGGCGACACAGGCGGACTGTTGGGGAAGTGTGTCAGGATGGACTCACACCTGGATGGCTGTGCTCCCGCTTGGCCTCCAAGCTCTCCACAGCCAGGGCCATCCCTTGACACAGCACCATGGTGAACCATTTCCTTCCCACTTCCTATGCCCCTTTGCAAAGCCAGAAGTCCTAGCCCCACAACCTCCAGACTGGAAGAAGTAGGGGCTTAGAACTCAGAACAGAGGCCAGAGATGGGCTCGTGGCCTTTGTGAACACCAAGTGCCTGTTGTGTGCATAACTGCTATGAATGCTCAGTGTCCACTGTGCAAGCCCCTGTGAGCGTGAGTGCCTGCTTTATCAGTGGTCCTGTGAACATTTAGTGCTGCTTGCGTGATCCTTGTAAACTCTAAGTGCTAATACGGAGGAGGGAACTGAGGTTCAGAGAAGTCTGAGGACTCCAGCAAATTGCCCCACAGGAAAGACTGCCTGAGGCCCCGAGGCCTCTGGTCTCTCTTCACTCACAGAGTTCAGCCTTCATCTGCACCACTTGCTGGTAGATCTTCTCCTGCTTGGAATCATTCTGCACCTGGAAGCTGGGGATCCTGGAAACTGGGCCAAGATAAAAAGGGGGGTACTGCGGTTATTAAACAACTACGGTGTGCATTGACTTGAGCTGGGTCCCCAGGGACATTATGCCATTTTCTTTTGAAATGCATCTCACTCTGTGGCCAAAGCCTCTCAAACTCCGGGGCAGAAGGATGCACCAGCCCCCAGCTTCCCGAGAAGCTTGGACTTGGGGCATGTGCCACAACCCAACGTCGGGGTGAAGATTAAGACACCTAACACCCAGGAGTCTCGACCCCACTTTCTCTTCTATATGGTGAGAGATAGCGGCTTAGAGCTCAGAACAGAGCCAGTAGACTGGTTTAACTGAGTGCCTACTGTGTGCATGCCCCTGTGAACACTGAGTGCCTACTGTGTGGACGATACCTGTGAAAACTGAATGCCTACTCTGTGCATAACTCTGTGATCATTGACTGTCTACTGAGTATACAAATTCAGTAAAGATGGAGTCCCTCCTGTGCTCATGGCATATTTTGATGTTTAATGGGATTGGATCTGGAATGGACCAAGAGACACGGCTAGGAACGGGGAGGTGAGGGTATTTGCAAGAAAGAGTCACAGGATAGGGAGGACCTGTACCTAGTGGGCAGTATTTCCCAGTGCCAGCCCAGACATACAGAAGCCAAGGGAAAAGTAGGGGTGCTGCTGTCAGTCCATCTTCCCATCTATCCTGTTGTTGTCTCTGGTGTTTTGCTATTGTCGACAATAGGTCCTTCAGCTTTTCATTGTGACTTGAAGATCTGTGTCTCTCCAGGAATCCTCCAGGTCCCCAGACTGGAACTCTGAGGCACCCAGACTTGTGGACTGAATGGCTACTGGATTCTCAGCCTTTTGATTATTCCTTCTATAGAGTCTGTTCATTCAGAGAACCTGACCAATGCAGGCTTTGTGAACGTTGAGTGCCTACTGTACATATGGTCCCTATGAACATTAAGTGCCTACTGTGAGCCTGGCCCCTGTGAACATTGAGTACTTATTGTGTATGTGGTTTCCCAAACATTGACTGCCTAGTGTGTGCACAAAGTTCCTGTGAACATAGAGTACCTAGTATGTGCATGATCCTTAAAACACTGAATTCCTACTGTGTGCATATCCCTGTGAACACTGAGTACCTACTGTATGCATAGCCCTTATGAACAATGAGTACATAGTGTGTATATGGTTACTCTCAGCACTGAATACCCCCTGGGTGCTTGCCTCTGTAAACATTAAGTGCCTGTGACCTAGATTCACATGTGAGGAAATAAGAGCCAGGAATGCTCTGATTGCTCAAGAAAACTGACACCTGTAGGGACCAGAGGCCTCAGAACCTGGTTTCTAGTCACTCACGTAGTTCAGTCTTCAGCTGTGTCACTTGTTCAGAGATCTCCTTCATGGATTCATTCCACCCCTGGGAGATGGGGATCCTGGAGTCTGTGCCAAGAAAAATAAAGTACTGTCATTATCAAATACCTACTGTGTGCCACAACCTGCACTGTGTCCCTGGGGATCTTAAGTTGTGTTTTATGGAACGCACTGTGTCACAGATTGTCACAAATTCCCTGGCACAAATGAGCATTCCCTTTCCAGTTCCCAAGTGGCTAGGACTGCAGGCATAGGTCACTGCCCGAGCTTCTGGGATGGTTTCTGATTGGTGTCTTGTTTAATCTCCTTTGAAGACTGAGAAACTAAACACCTAGAAGGGGTCTAGTCCCAGGGAGGGGATGGGTCAGGATGAACCCACACTTGGAAGCCCAAGTCCCTTTTCTGTTCAACCTTCAAGCTCTCCAGAGTGAAGATCTTCCCTTGACACAGCACTCTGGGGAACTATTCCCTGTAGGGATTCAGGCATTATGCTGGCCTGCCTGTGTCACCTGGCAGAATGCACTCAGGCAATACTCTGGTCAGCCCAGGGTTCCATGAGTACTAGTGTGGACACAGGTGTAAAGGACCCCTTTAAAATGACAGACCGCCCCCCCCCCCGACCCACTTATGCTCCCTTTCCTACTCTCTTTACTGCTGTTCACCTGGAGTAGACAGGACTTTTCCTGTCTCCATCTTCTTTCCTGTCCTCTCTCTGTCTCTGTGTCTGTTTACCTCTTTCCTCTTTCTTCTCTGCTTTCCTTTCTTTCTTTCATTCTTTTTTTGGCTTTATGAGACAGGGTTTCTCTGTATTGTTTTGGAGGTTGTCCTGGAACTCGTTCTGTAGACCAGGCTGGCCTTGAACTCACAGAGATGCAACTGCCTCTGCCTCCCAAGTGCTGGGATTAAAGGCGTGCGCCACCGACACCTGCCCCCCCCCCCACTTCCTTTTCTAATACAACTTGTCACTAAGCTCTGTCTGCCTGGCATGTTTGTCCCTCTGCCTCAGCCAACCTCTCGTGTCATGGAATCTTCCAAGATTCCGGACGGCACCAGCTTTATTCTAACATTCCCTTCTCTGTTTCCCAGATCCCTCCCAACCCCAGGAAAGCCCAGGAGTCCCTGTCCATCTCCTCTGACTAGAAGGAACAGATTTAGAGCTCAGGACATTCAAACACTAAGAGGTTGGCTTGGTTGAGTATCTACAGCACTTCGAATATTGACTTCACACTGCGTATATGAACATTAAGAGCCAGATGTATGTGTGGCACTTGTGAGCGTTGAGTGCCTACCCTGTGTACAACCCCTTTAACTCAGGTGCCCACTGTGTGCACAGTCCCTGTAGCCAGCACACATCATCCTTGTTGCTACTCTGTGGTCTCAGTCCACATTTGAGGAAACTGAGACTCAGAGAGGTCTGATGGCTCAAGAAGATTGACCACCTACGGATACCCAAGGCCTTGGACCGCTGGTTTCTCACTCACGGAGTTCAGTCTTCAGCTGTGTCAGCTGTGCAGAGATCTCCTGCATGGACTCATTCTGCCCCTTGGAGGTGGGGATCTTGGACACTGTGCCAAGAAAAAAAACTGCTATTATTAAATACATACTGTATGCCACGATCTGCAGGGAATTTCCATCACCAGTCTTGGAAGCAAACACTTTTACCTGCTCAGCTACTGAACTAGCCATGTGCCATTTTTTTTGGACACAAGTCTCGCTTGCTGTCAGTGCTTCTCTCAAACTCCCGTGGGTAAATGACCATCCCCCCTTAGCTTCCTGGTAGCTCAGACTGCAGGTAGGTGCTGCTACTCCAGCACCTAGGACAGTTTCTGACTGATGTCTTGTTTAATCTGCTTTGCAGACAGGGAAGCGGAACACCCAGAAGAGTCTGGTCCCAGGGAGGGGGCAGCTCAGGTTGATGCCCATGTTCTCTGTCTGCTCAACCTTCAGGCCCTCCAGGGTGACAGAGAATCCTGGGCAATGATTCTTCTCTCCACACTCCCTCCCCTTCCTCAATCCCAGGAGTCCCATGCATTATCCTCCAGACTAGGAGAATTGGGGCTTAGCAATCAGGGCAAAGACCGAGAGAACTGTTTAATTGACTATTCACTGTGTCCATGGCCCCTGTGAACAGTGAACATATAGTGTCTGTTGTGTGCATGCCAAGTACATGCATGTCCTCTGGGGACACTGAATACCTACTATGTACATGCCCTTGTGAACACTGAGTGCTTACTGTGTACACTGCCTCTGTGGACTCTGAGTTCCTACTGTGTGCACAATCCTGGTAAGTACCGAATATCACTTTTTATTGTTACCCTGTGGTCTCAATTCACAGAGGAGAAAACTGAAGCTCAAAGAGATCTGACAATTGAAGAAAGTTGATCCCTTTCCCACGGAGCCCTCCTGAGGTGCTGGTACTTCTGGTTTTTGGTCACTCACAGATTTTATTAGTCAGCTGGGTCAGTTCCTGGTAGATATCTTCATATTTGGATTCTTCCTGTCCCTGGGTGTTTGGGGTTTTGGAAACTATAATGAAGGAAAAAAGTTTCATTATTAAATACCCTCTGTGTGCCAAGTCCAGCACTGGATTCTCTGAGACATTGTGTCATTTTTTAATTTTTTTTTGAGACGGGAGTATAGGCACATCAGCACCCCAGAGTCTAGGACAGTTTCTCACTAATGTCTTCCTTAACCCTGTTAGAAGACTAGAAAACCTAGCACTCAGAAAAGCTGAGACATAAGAAGAAATGGATCCAGGATCTCGGATCCACCCATGTCTCTTTCCTCATTCTGGAGATGGGGGCACCCTTAGAGGACTGCCGTCCATGGGGACATTCTTAAAGGACGTGTCATCCATGGGGGCATCCTTAGAGGACTGCTGTCCATGGGGACATCCTTAGAGGACATGTCATCCATGGGGACATCCTTAGAGGACGTGCTGTCCATGGGGACATCCTTAGAGGACGTGTCATCCATGGGGGCATCCTTAGAGGACTGCTGTCCATGGGGACATCCTTAGAGGACATGTCATCCATGGGGACATCCTTAGAGGACTGCTGTCCATGGGGACATCCTTAGAGGACGTGTCATCCATGGGGGCATCCTTAGAGGACGTGCTGTCCATGGGGACATCCTTAGAGGACTGCTGTCCATGGGGACATCCTTAGAGGACTGCTGTCCATGGGGACATCCTTAGAGGACGTGTCATCCATGGGGGCATCCTTAGAGGACGTGTCATCCATGGGGGCATCCTTAGAGGACGTGCTGTCCATGGGGACATCCTTAGAGGACTGCTGTCCATGGGGACATCCTTAGAGGACTGCTGTCCATGGGGACATCCTTAGAGGACATGCCGTCCATGGGGACATCCTTAGAGGACATGCTGTCCATGGGGGCATCCTTAGAGGACGTGTCATTCATGGGGGCATCCTTAGAGGACGTGTCATCCATGGGGGCATCCTTAGAGGACTGCTGTCCATGGGGACATCCTTAGAGGACGTGCTGTCCATGGGGACATCCTTAGAGGACTGCTGTCCATGGGGATATCCTTAGAGGACATGCCGTCCATGGGGACATCCTTAGAGGACTGCTGTCCATGGGGACATCCTTAGAGGACGTGCTGTCCATGGGGACATCCTTAGAGGACTGCTGTCCATGGGGACATCCTTAGAGGACATGCCGTCCATGGGGACATCCTTAGAGGACATGCTGTCCATGGGGGCATCCTTAGAGGACATGTCATTCATGGGGGCAAACTTAGAGGACGTGCCATTCACTTGTACACCCCACATCCCTTCTAGACCCAAAGAAGGCCCTGGCTGAAGAGCCAGGTCAGAGAGCTGAGGCCTCCATGTTCCTGACCTTGGACAAGAATGATCAGCAGGAGCCCAGCCAGGAACAGGAAGGAGAGCAGCTGCAGGACCCAGGGGATTTGGTCGCGTCCCAGGCGTCCTGCTAGAGAAAAAGTGGACTTTTAAGTATGATGATGTCCTTACCTTATGCTGATTCCACAGCAGGTGATCAGCACCTTTCTGCCACCAGCCGGTGAATCCGACTTTCAGAGTCTACCTCCACATGGCCCATGATTTCATTCCCTTGCCTCAGTCTCCTCATAGCCTGTGTGTGACTTCCTGCTTCATTCTCCACTCCCCACACCCCTGACTCCCTATGCCAGCCTCCACTTCCCCAAGACCCTCAATTTCTTGCTGTTCTGTCCATCTTCTCAGGACGCCCAATCCCCTTGCCACGGCCCAGGTTTCTTCATCCCAGCCTCCACCTCCCCGTGGCCCATGATTCCCTTCCCTCGCCTTCTCTTTCCACAGCCTGCCGTCTCTCCCCTGGCCACCTGCCACAGCCTTCACAGTGGCCCAGGATTCCCTGCCCCACTCTCTCTCTCCCCAGGAAACAGAAGTTTACAGCCCTAGCCTTCTCTCTCTAAGACCCATTCTGAGGAAGGCTCTCCGCTTTTCTGCAGCCCCTTGCCCTGCTGTACCTGCCAAACTCTTGATTCCAGAATTTGGTCGTAGTCTGGAGATTTTACTAGAACACTTGGTGTCACTGACCATCCACTCTTCGTCCTCTGAGGGAACACAACGCCAGTCAGAGCCTGGGCAGTCTCAACTCCTAGCCACCCCCTCTGGTTTCCCTCACCATGCTCGAACAATGCCGCCCAGCCTCACCCACAGAACCCAGCTGCTGCATCCTGGTTCCTGTGGAGTCACTCATCGTCACCGCTGTGCCCTGGAGCTGGGGACTTCTGGAGACCACAGTTTTTATCTCCTGGTGTTCTCTAAGTGTCCTTTCATTCAGGAAGGGGAAAAAAGGAAGCCCCGAATTGCGGAAGAGCCTGAGGGAGGGACTGCACCTTCACATGGCCTATCTTGTGCCAGATAACTAAAGGTTGAGAGTTATTTTTTTTAGGGAGGGATCGGAAAGTTTGGGGTTCCATAACAGAAAACTCTGGTGTGTTCATGGTATGGCCAAATTATGGGTGCCGTTTCAAAGTCAATAGCTTATACAATAAATCCACTTTGTTAAACCCTTTCCACCTACGCTGAGTATAGGGGAACCCCCATCTTCCAAGTTTCTCTCCAACTCCAGGCTTTCTTGCTTTGCTAGCTTCTGATTCATGGCCATCTCTGCTGACTTTGCTGTCCTCATGCTCCTGTCAGTTGAGTGCCTGCTGCTGTCAGGACATCTGACTGCTGGGTGGACTCATTCCTCAAACCTTCTCACACAGTGGGAGCTGAGAAGCCGCATAACCAGATTAGGTAACTGTCTAATAATAGTCACACAGCTGGTTCATGGGGAAGCTGGGATTTGAACAGGGGTAATCCACCTCTGTGTTGTGAACCAAGGAGACTCCAACAGTCCCAAGGAGGAAATGAAAAGTTCACTACATACTTCAGAATTGTAGAATTTTGAAAAAGCAAGCTGGCCAGGAGGCTCACTGGGTAAAGCGCTTGCTTTCCAAGCAAGACGATCTGAGTGCAGATCTCAGCACTCAAGTAAAAGGCCACAAGTGGCAGCTCACACCTGTAACTCCAGTATTGTGGGGGCGTGGAGGCAGGATGAGCATGGAGCTCATTGTTCCACAAACCTAGTCAAACTGGTGAGTTCCAGGTCAGCTGAGAGACCCTATCTCAAAACATAAGACGGACGAGGGGTGGAAGTTGACATTGATATAAGCCTTATACCAACACACACACACACACACACACACACACACACACACACACACACACACACACACACACACACATTGTGATGACACAGTGCGAGGGGAACCTTGGCAGATTCCATGGCAGGCGAGGGTGACTGAGGCAGAGGGACAAACATACCAGGCAGACGGAGCTTAGTGAGGAGTTTTATTAAAAAGAGAACAGAGGTAAAGAGACACAGAGACAGAGAGAGGACAGAAGAGAAGAGGGAGACAGGAAAAGTTCTGTCTGCCTCAGGGGAACAGCAGGAAAGGGAGAGAGAGCAGGAAAGAGATCATAAGTGGGTGGGGGCCCTTTGCACCTGAGCACAGACTACATGACCATGGAACCCTGGACTGAGCAGGGTACTGCCTGAATGCGTTCTGCCAGGTGACATGGGCAGGTCAGCGTAATGCCTGAATCCTTACACACACACTGTAACTATAGCTAAAACAAAAAGAGACTGAGAAGTTTCCATGGAGGATAAGGGTTATTGAGGGAGTTGGAAAGGTGAGGGTGGTGTAGAAGAAACTCTAAGTAATAGAATTGATTATTGAGGTTTTACTAATAGATTTACTTTAAATCTATAAAACAGAATATGGCTAAGGAAAGCCAACTCCAGAAAATGCCTCAGAGATGAGTAACAAGCTAACCAGGCCTGCTAGACATCAGTTAAATTCGTGATTCTAGGATTTGAACATGTTTGTTCACCAGGATAACCAGCCATTAGACTTGTGGGGCTGTAGTCAGAGCCATCCAACTTGCCCATATAAAGAAAGGCTAGGTAAGGACATTAAAGGAAAAGACAGAGAGACAGGAGAGATGTCAGGAGGACCATTCAGTCCATACTGAATGCTGAACGCCCCGAGTTTATTCCTCAGCATACTTAGGTACCCAACCAAAAGTGGGGACAATGACAGAAGACTTCTGTTGCCTTGCATAAGGGGCGAAAGACTTGCTTCCCTTAGTCCTCCAGGTATTTGGTAGCCACACCTGCCATCCAGCCTTCAGGGTCAAGAGTAAACACAATAGGGTGGGAGGGGGGGGGAAGGGGAGTGCGGGAAGAGGGGAGGGAGAGGGAACTGGGATTGACATGTAAAACAGGCTATTTAAAATTAAAATAAAAAATGATTAAAAAAAGTAAAAAAAAAAAGAAAAAAAAAAAAAGAGTAAACACACCTGAGCCCAAGTCTGTTGTTATTTAGATAAAGACATCGGCTACCAAGGCCAACACGTCCTGCGGCCAGCAGGCAACCTATAGACTTACTTATAAGGACAGTTTTGAACTCTCTGACCTTTAGTAAAGCTAGAGTGGAGCCACAGAGTCCATTCCAAGAACAAGGGAGACAGCCCTGACTTACAGCAGCCATTAAGCCCATCTGTACCTCAAAGCCTCTATGGCAGCTCAAGGAGGAAGCACAAGGTGACAGCCATTGTTAAGTCCTGACCTGCCTAAAGCCCCTTGCCCTCTTCTTGAGAAAAGCATATTCTGCCAGGTGGGCAAGATGATCCCATGTAACAACTGTTTAAAAAGAACAGCACTTAGACTCTGATCAGGAACTACAGATGCAAGCATAACTAACAGAATACAGGAGTTAGAAGAGAGAATCTCAGGTATTGAAAATTCACTAGGAGAAATAGATTCATCGACCAAAGAAAATCTTCAGTCCAACAAATCCCTAACACAAAATATGGGACACCGTGAAAAGGCCAAATCTAAGAATAATAGCTCAAAGGTGAAGAAAACATATTCAAAAAATCATGGAAGAAAACTTTCCTAACCTAAAGAAAGACATGCCAAAGAAAGCATAAAAGCTTACAGAACACCAAATAGAATGGACCACTTAAGTCTCCTCACCACATAATAATCAAGACCCCAAATATACAGAATAAAGAAAGAATATTAAGAGCAGCTAAGGAAAAAGGCCAAGTAACATATAAAGGCAAACCTATCAGAATCACACCTGACTTCTTCATGGAAACTCTGAATGCTAGAAAGTCCCGGATAGATATTCTTTTTTTTTTCCCAAAAAACTTGTTTTTATTATTAAACCTTGTAGTACAAACCTGAAAAGTAAACAAAAAACTGGCAATAAACCACAGGAAGTCCTCCCTCTTGAGGGAGGGGTGCAGAGCAGCACTAATAAATTAAATGTCAAACTGTAAGCCATAGGCGAAAGTTTACTGTCAAAAAGAGGGAAAAGTACACAGCAAGGCCATAAAAACTGGACAACCACATGGGAAAACACTCGACTGTTATGTAATCGTTAAATATTCCAAAACAGTTCAGTCTTCTGCAACAACAACCACCAAAGTGGATCCTAGGACATTCCTGGCAGTCACCACTGGCAAGCTCAGTGCAATACGGGTAGCTACAGACTGATCCAATTATGAAACAAAGAACAGCGTGTGAAAACAGTTTCCCTTTTTTATTCCACACATACTGTACACACAACCGGAGAAGGGCAACAGCTACTCCATTACCATGTTTTGTTGTTGAGTGATGTAAGCAGCACTTACAAATGTTACAAGAAAAACCCTGTAAGCACCGGATATTCTATCAACACTAAGAGACCATGGATGCCAGCCCAGACTACTACACCCAGCAAAGCTTTCAATCAATATAGATGGAGAAAACAAGGTATTTCATAACAAAATCAGATTTAAATAATACATATCCACTAATACAGCCCTATAGAAAGTGTCACGTCTGCTGCGCGGCCAGAGAAGCTTCTGCTCTCTCCTCTACCCTGGCTGGTTCTGCTCTGACACCAGAGGTGGATGTGTGTGGGTTTTTGAAGGTGCGGTTAGTCTTTGGACAAGGTCGAGGTCAGGGCGGTTTCCATGGGAAGGCCTTTCCCAGGAACTTATTGTATCGTTTTTAGTAAACATGTTTTTACTAAACATTGTCTTACAGCTGCCTACTCCCAGGCAGAAGGGGAAGTGGCCAGGAACTTATTGTATCGTTTTTAGTAAACATGTTTTTACTAAACATTGTCTTACAGCTGCCTACTCCCAGGCAGAAGGGGAAGTGGGTCTCTGCTCAAGGTCTGGTGTTCCCACAATTCACCCCTTTTTATTTTCAAATGAGGCACTCCTGGCTTAGGTCAAGTAGGGTCACCCTCCCTTTCCCATCTTTGGGGGACCTTGAACCCCTGTTTTAGGTGGGAGGGGTCTTCCCCACAGGTTGCCCGTCATCGGAGATACCCCAACCTTAAATCATCTGTAACCAACCTTCATGGCTATCGGAATTGCCATGGGCTAAGCTAAGCAATACTTGGTTACGGATCTCTTGTCTCTGGAACAAGGCACGTTTGAGCTCGGCATAAAGCCAGAATGCCTACCGCCACTGCCACCATTTCCAGGACCCCCATTGACATAGCGCCTCTCCATTACCATACCCATCACCAGATCTGGGCCATAACATTCTACCAGCCTTCGTCTGTTACAAGGGTAACCCGCATGTGATTTACATTTACAATTTGATAAAGTTTCCAATCGTTTTAAGATCTGCTCAGGAAAGCATTTAGAAAGTGCAATTGCACAGATACATTAGGTACAATCATTGATGTTACACATGTAGCATTACGAAAAATATGAACAATAGTTGTCTCATTAGGACACGTTGCATTTCTCCAGAAAAATACACTGGCCTAGTCATGATTCCAGAAACAGAAACCATCAAGTCTGATATTTTAAGTGACCATGTCCTGTTTAAATACTGAAAAGAGGCTTTTGCCACTCATCATAGTCCATACCAATGTCCAAATGCTTTAAATGGGTCCTTTTTTCTCTGTTGGCTTCACGATGAAAACTCATGGGTCCGGAAGGTTGATGCAGCAGGTCTGTTGAGAAACTGGAAATCTCGAACCGACTGTTTTCTTTTTTTTCTTGGGCTCTAGATTCGATGACATCAAGGGTCAGGAACACTGATTTAGGAGATCTCACTCAAACTGGCTTAGGTAGGCTCCCATGGTCTCAGGTCCAGTTTTTCTCTGCTCCATGCATCTCACTAAATGGTCTGACAGTTGCCAAAGCTTTATTCTTTTCCTACAAGAAAACACAAACATGCCCTCGACCCCAAATTAGGGTCTTCTCCACTGTCTAAT